AGCATCAATCTCCTAGTGAAAATGTAAATTATATCCCCAGCTGAAAGTCCTGCACAGGCACAGACACTGTGGGCAGATAAGACCCATGTGCTACTCAGTGGGAACAGTTTGTGTCTTGCAAAGTATCCTTCTGGTTGATAGGAGCCAGAAATATAAAGGAGAATATTTGCTTTTCTTTTAAAAATAGCTTGTTCTAAGGAATGTCTTTTTCAGCCATGAGAGAATACAACATGGAAGGGATACAGGACCTAATAACCCACCTGGAAATACTTTGTATGGAAAAGCAGTTTAGCCAGTTTGGGGATTGAGCCAAAGAATTATCAGACAGGCCTTGCTTGATATGATTTGGGTTTGTGGCAGCTTTTACAGCCCAGCAGGATTTCCCAAAGCTGAGGTGCTTTTAAGTTGCCCGTGTATGTGCCTGGCCCTTTTTGCAGTCCTGGCTTTTGGCCAAAGTGATTTCTGTTTGTGAGGGAGTGAACAAGTGAGGATCATTACAACTTGGAAGGAGCTCAGTTCTTTCTGAGAGCTATGGAGACACAGAATGGGACAAAACAAGTATAGAAATGTACCACAAAGTGGGAGCTGATAAGGAGATGACATGCTCCTGCAAATTTTAGCTGTTTAGGACATTTTTTTTTTGTTTGCAGGCTGTGGGACAGCTCTTATGCAGAAGTAGGGGAACCTGGATGCAGGAGAATAAGAGGTTTCCAGTAGGATTTGTGTGTATCTCCCACTCTGAGGCAATTGTACATCAGCAGATCTATACTCTGACCATGGAGGGGTGGCTTCTCCACAGCTGTGATTCTGCTCCTCATCCTCATGGTGATGATACACTCGTGCACACCACAGGAGCAGCAGCACAGTGTTAAAAATTGTGAATTTTCAGAAGTCAACAGCAGAACCTCTACTGCACTCTCTTCAGGAAAAGCAGTTCAATGAAAAGGTAAAGATGGGACACTGTAACCTTCCTTGCCCCCCCCCAGGTATTTTTTCAAGGTACAAAAGGGCTTCTAATGAAACTATCCCACTGCCTGAAGGACAGAACAAATGAACTCTGACATCCATGAGGCACCCCAGGTAGCATTTCCAAATGAAAATTTATGGGTCTTTTAGGAATCTTGGGGTGAGGGAAAAGAGAGGAAGAAAGAGCAAAGTTAAGTTCCATGGAAAGCTGCTACTCTTCATTGAATCTAAAATAGAACTTCTTGGAAGTTTACCAACCAGGCATTTTTGTGTGGAAAACACTAACTGTGCAGATTGGGCACTGTCCAAGTTAAAATACACACCAGTACTGGATGGGAATAATGTTAGGGGTCTAGATGTGTTGACTCAGAAATACCTGCCAAAGAGTCCCTGCTATGGCAAGACTTGGGACCTCACAGCAGCTGTTACTTTTCTACAGCACATTATAGGTCTGGCTTTGGGTCTCCAACTGTGCATCCTCAGGATTTCAGGGAGGTGTCAGTGAGTTCTGGAGTGTAGCTTGTGCTTTACACTCAGTGCAGATCCAGTCAGTTCACTAACTGGAGTCCCGGGAGTTTGCTTGGTTTTCCTTTTCTGAGTTTGACACCTGCATTTGGAGAGATGACTTATGCCCAGTACTGCACTTGGAGCAAGGGAGTGGGAGGGAAAGGATGTTGGAGTGTGGTTTTTCAGGACAGGTTTTTCAGTAAAAAGACTGTTTTGTTCAATCCAAGTGTCTTTTTTAAAAGACTGAATCCACGTCTAGCATGAATCAAGGCACAGAAGGAGCAGAAAACTAGCTGGAAACTGGACATTCCCTGGAGTGTGATGGAACTTGCTAGAATTCAAGGACTTTTACATTAATATGTACTAGGACTCGTGTTTCACACAATATTGATGCTCAACATGAGTCTGGGCATTGGATGAGGACAGGGAATGGGAGCACAGTTTTCAGCTTGGGAGGTTTCCTCCTCCCACTGAAAAGACCCAGACTTAACCTTGCTGTACCAATTGATCTCATGCATGGTAAGGAGAATTTTGAGGTTTTTTTCTGTAGCCCTCTTCAAATTCTTTCTTCCATGCTTGCCATGATAGTATTGGAGCATCCACCTTTTCCATCTGCTTCTCTGCAAACACCTGCCCATGCAATTCCTCCGTGCTGCACCTTGTGCTGAACGTGATGCTGTTCTTGGTGAGTCAAATCCATTGAGGCATCAAGATGATTTGACCTGTGCCTAGGAGAAACATGGTGCTGAAACTCTTCTTTGGTTCTGCACCATGGGGAAACCCTTTATCCAAATGGCTTTGTGTTTCCCTGCCCCAGCTGTCCCCAGTCTCGCATCATCGCCCTTAGATGTACAAACTACATGTACCTCAGCAAGCAAGGCTTTGCCAGCCAGGGCTGTTCTGAGAATACCTGATTTTTTCACTGTAATTTGGAAGGAGAAGCCTGTGTTCATATTCTTGCCTGAGGCACAGCACAGTTCTTGAGCAGGACTTGTATTTCTGGTTTCTTTACAATACAAACTTTATCAGCCAGACGAAAGCTGAACTCCAGTTTTTCCAAAGAGGGTCACAACAAGCTTGGCTAGAGCCTTGAGTCAGTTAGCTGGGACTACACAGAACTCAGACACTTGTTTCAAGCAGTCTTTCTCTCATAAAAACATAGAGCACCTCAATATCCTCTTGCTTCCCTACTTTCATGTTCCAGTTGCTCAGAAATGGGACAGGATGCAGTAGAGCCAGTGTATGTATGTCTGAGCATGTACCTGTGTGTGAAAGGTGTGATCAGCATGGTTCTTGCTTTTGGGTAGTGTAAAGTTAGCATCCTTGCTGGTGGGGGCTTCCAAAGGGGAGAGAGAAAGCACAGCAGAGCTGATCCCACATGGTGTCATCTCTGATGGGGCAGGAGAGCTGTTAAGAGTTACATTCTTAGCAGATCAAAGCTGTATTTCGTGGTGGAAGCCAAGTGAAAGCTTATGTGCCTGTTTGGCAGCCTGTCATTTAGATAGGGATGAGCCCGAGACTAACCCAGAACCTAATGAGAGGGAGGAGATGGGGAATGTATTGAAAAATGCCCTGAGAAGAGAGGCAGATGACACGGAGGAGCCAAGCCTGTGTCTCTGTCCGAGTACTGAAGTACTGGAGCTTGCAGGCACAAGGGAGCCATGTGATCTGTGCTGGAGCACAGGCACCTCTCCTGCAGAGAGGGCAGATGCTGCACTAGGTCAGGATGTCTCCTGGAGAGAAGCTGAGTGCTGGGAGGTTTTCAAAAAGCACTACAACCCTTAGCTCTGAGAGGCAGGGTCTGGCATGAAAGTGTGAACAGACTGGGGTTTTAGTTGCTCAGGAAGAGCTAGAACATAGCAGCTGAGCAGAAAAGTTAAACTAAGTGTTTTTTATCCACGGAGAAAGTACTGGAAGGTAGTGGCTGACCCTTGGGAATAGGTTAAGTGAGCCAGAGAGCAGCAGTGATAAGAGGGTGGAGGTGTTATTGATGCACTCCCTCAAGGCTGGGCTCCCTTGTGTCTGTGTGTCTAAACTTGAGGAGCTGATTCTCTCTTCTTTTTTTTTTTAGGCTGGCAACTTATGGTAGTGTAAGCAGATGTGTCTCAATGTTGTGGTGATGGCAAAGGAGTTTTTTGAGAAATGGGGAGCAGGAAAGGTTTGTGAAGTGGCCTGTGCATTTCTGAGGTGCGAGGATAAGTAAGAGGCAGCTGGGAACAGGTCGTATGGTTTTGGGATCACTGAGTAGGTAAAAGGTTGGGAAGACGTTAGTAGGGTCTTAAAACATTCTTGGCAGGTAGCTCTGGGTGAAGGAGGCATCTGTACAAGGTGGTTTTGCAACCTTGCAAGACCTTGCAGAGATGACCAAGCAACGTGAGCTTGGTGTGAGGCAAGGCATAACAGGATAGTGGGCAGATGGTCTGGCACGTGCCTACACAACCCCCAAACCAGCCAACTCTGTACTCCTCAAGGGACTTACTGTAACTTGAAGGAGGATTATTTACTAAGACCACTTTTTTTTTTTTTTTTCTTTTTAGAAGAAAAATCAGTGCTTCATCAAAAGACAGTGTAAAGCAATGAAAAAAATAAAGTCACAGTGCCAGGAAGTACCGATCAAATTCACATCCCATGAGAACTAACCTGCTTGTAGCTTTGCTTCAAAAAATATTAATCCATTTATTGCCCATTAAAAATTCCCTTTGTCTCTTCTCAGTTGTGGTGCATGCTTGAGATCTTAAAGATGGCACTGTCAGTCCTTAAAGCAATATTTGACATCAATTTACTCATTAATTTTCAAATGCAGGACACTGAAAACCTTTTCCTGAGGGCATCTTTGTGTTCTGTTTGAGAGAGTTACTGTTGTTTTCCCACCTCCCCTGAAGGGTTGTTTACAATACCATCTCTCCCTTTTAATCCTCTTTTCCTTTCATGTCTAACAAACAGTGTTAAACAGAACATGGGGGGAAAAGCAGATCTCACACATTATAATTATCTATAGTTAACTGAAGAAATCCTTCACATTAAGAGGTCTCATTTTATAAGTTAATACTCAAGAAGCTTTTTCCTATATTTTTCCACACAAAAACTCTGTTCTTTCAAGCTTGAGGTTTGCATGTATACTAAGTCAGATAAAGGGTTTCTGAGTTGATGTGCACTCTGTGCAGAGACTGAGCTGCCACAAACAAAATTTTCCTTATGAGATCCTCTGCAAGGGATGTCTTGAGATGTACACACTAGAATGTGGGCAGTACCAAGATGTTAAGCTATGACAGAAAATATTACATTTCAAAACTGGCTGCTGTTTCTGCTGGATATTTTTAGAGTTCCCCTTAATTTCTCTAGCTCTTTTTGCCCTGTATCTGAGCACTTTAAGACTGTGAATATATTTAGAGTAACAATTTTTCTGTGGGGAGGTGTGGGACTCCACATTACACAGATCTGAGAGGCTATCGTTTGATGAGCACTTCTTTCAGCAGCACCACCAACATAAGCATCCCCTGATTTCCCCTCTCCCACCACTCACTCACCCCTCAGCTGTGCCAGTTTCTGTGCTGTGTGGGAAACATATCACAGAACACATCCAGGTTAAAAATAGCTGGAAAAGAGAGAGAGAAAGAGAGAGAGAAATGAATTCCAGAACCTGGACTAATATGCTATATGTACATCCAAAGCCGATACAACAGAACCATTTTAGCTCAGATCTGTCTGTCCAGCTCCATCAATACTTTGTACCTGATTTCACACAGGACTGAAAGGTAGAAATTTCAACAGCTACCGATTTCCTCTCCAAATATTGTGCAAACTGATTGCAGTGTGAGGGGCAGGGACCTCAGCTAAAGAAATGCAGCCAGCAGTCACCTGGCTATGTGCATGCTGACTGGCCATGTATGCATTAGCTGATCAGCCAGCATATATGGACCTGACTGCAGCCCAGGAAAGGGTCTTGGAGCATATGATGAGGGAAGAGTGGAGCTCATTGCAGCCATTTTATTTTAGGAGGAGAGGACAGAAGGGAGGTGAATAAGAAGCAGTGGTCAGAGACCCTCAGGACACCAAGAGCCATTAGTTCCACTGCTCACAAAGCAATTTGTTTCAAAAAGGCCTGAAATTCTATAAAAGAAGGCCTCTTCTGCACGTGAGCCTGTAAATCAAGTGAGCCTGTAAATCATACAATTTGGGAGGAAGCTGAGAGCTCAGCCTCACATTCCTGTTTAGACTTCAGCAACCACTTCTGCTTTTAGCACTCCGAACACCAGTGGAAACCACGGATACTGATTTCTTTCCCGTACTCAAATGTCACTTAAAGCCCTTGTTTCTCCTGAATAACTCTTTTAAGCACTTGCTTCATTTTTGTTCCTACCTGCCTGCTTTCCAATTTACTACAGTTTGCCAAGAGCTTTGCTCCATTCTCTTCTTTTGTATCCTTCATGCTTCCCCTCCGATGGATGACCTCAAATTTGGTACAGGGCAGTACACAGAATATTCAGTGAATTGTATCTGAAAATGATGAGAATTTTGGTGCAAACAAAAGTTGGCTCTTCCTACCCACCCCTTCTGAGGGAAAAGAGACCTTGGGTCTCCTCATTGTTTCTGCTGATCTGCAGAGAGGACGGGGTGGGATGGGAGCCACAGGGTGGAACAGTAGCCATGAGACACCCTATGAGCCATGGCTGTAGTCCATAGTCAGAAAAGGCTCTTTATGATCCTGTCCTGAGGTGGTTTTTCAGCCCCTGGTTGCAGGTGCAGGATGCAAGTGGAGCTGTGTGGCTGCTCCTAGGGGACTGTGTCTGTGTCGGAAGCACACACTGGCAGGGGACCTTTCATCGGATAGAAACAGTCTCTATTCCTACCATTTGTGGTCTTCCCCAGTAGGAGAAATTATTATTGCCATGGGCACATCTTGGGTTTCTCCAGGTGGGAAACTGGAGGTTTTGGGCAGTTGGGGATTTTCCTGGTGTGGGAAATCCCTGGGTGGCAATAATCCAGTGTTTTGGGCTGTGTGCCATCCCTGCTGCAGACACCCAGGAACATTACTGGGAGTTGCACCCATTGTGATCTGTTTGCAGATACTCCAGTCTCACCACATGTATGGAGTGAGGTGTGATGGGAAAGGCCTGAGAAGGCTCCCAGGGAATCTGCCTGTGTTAATTCCCTTGTCATTGCATACCTCTGGGTCTGCTCCAGTCTGCACACTGGGGGAGCTGCTAGAGCTCAGCTCAGCTCCTGCAGGAGAAGTGTCTTCATAGGCTTTTCTAGCACTGATTTTTCTTCTGGAACTAGTTCCTATAGGGAATTTTCTTTCCCCAAAGGGAAGAAGGTAGCCATTTTGCAAGGTACCACGGGGGACCTGTAAAAGAGATCTAAAGCAGAAGCCAGAGCTGCCTTGCTGGAAGGGAGTGCTAGAAGGTCCCATCTTTTCTCCTCACCAGACACAGAAGCAGGGGAGGTGCTGGTGAATTTTTACCAACATGGAGCAGCCTCATGCAGAGTGGAGTGGCCCTTACTGTGAGTGATGTTAGGATCTTGCTTTATTCTTGGGTAACTACAGAATTTGGGGAAGTGGTGGCAGGGGAGAGTGATCAGAAAGCTGGCAGAAATTGTGTAATTGGTGTATCAAAGGTCTTTTTACTCTCCTCAAGTCACATTTTAACAGTACCCCTTTTATTCTATGTGTCAGTAAACAACAAAATTGTTACTGATAAAACTTGCCTTAAGCAACAAGACACATGTGAACAATACAGCACTAAGAGCCACATTTTCAGAAGTGTGTGTGCAGAAATGTCTATTGTACAATGTATAAGCAGCATGTGGTCTGGATGTGGCAAGCAGCAACGGGAGAGGAAAAGGGGAACAGATGGAACCTGTACTTGAGTGACAAGAGCGGACGTAGGCTCAGATCAAATTTTGTACTGTGCAGAGGCTGAGCTTTTGAAAAGCCTTAAATAACAACCACATTTTAAGGAGGACTGCACTAATGGGGCATGCAGATAAGCACACCAAATGGTGCAACTGCAGAGCACACAGCACTGCAGACAGTGATATATACAGAGTGTATGAAAAGTTTGCTCTGACACGCCGCCCATGCATACAATCAAAGGTGTGCACATTTTAGAAACATCAGCCTCCCTGAAACCTCAATGACTTAGCAATAAAACATCAGGAAATGATAAATCAGGGTCAAAAAGGTCTGAGAATTCCACACAGCTGAAATAAAGATTGAGCAAGAAGAATTAGCATCAAGAAATCAGATTCAGATGTTTAAAGCTGGTTGTCTGAACCAAGTTAATATAATGCACCATGTGTCACTTCAAAACGCTCAGATCGTGCAGCTGGGAAGCCCTTCCCATGATTGTGAAATGCAGCAGTTCACTGGATCTGAGAAGGCTGGGATGGCCGTGTCTGCCTGGACACGAGCAGGCTATAAATGATGAATTGGGATTACAGCCTTTAATATCCCCGTCCAGTTTTACCAGTTCCCCAAACCACTAGCACAGAAAACCAGCCCTGCAGCAAGGCCTTATGAAGATTCTACCTTCACATATTCTGGACTTGCCTTCTGTCTCCATTCATCTCCCCATGGACTGAAAATCCTCACGAACTTTTTTCCAAATGCAAAGCACTGATGATCCACACCCCTTGGTCTCTTACTTTCATCCTATTTAAAAGAATCCCTATTCAGCTACCCAGTCTTTTCCAGGAAAATTATCCTCTTTCTGTCCATTCTACCATGTCTAGAGTTCACAGCTCTAGAAAATAATGGTTTTAATCTGTCAGTACTATGGGACAATCACATTTTCACTCATCCTCACACTTACATAGAAGGAAGCCCTTACCTGTATGAATGCAGACCAGCACAACAACCACCCACGTGGGACACTGTAAGTTTGCAGAACTTGCACAATTTCACTGCTAATTTTTTTAGTTGGATTCATATCAACTTACAGATACACATGTATTGGGTATGCTCCTTCAGCCTAGCAAAGTAATCCAAGAATCCAGCACTGCTCACCTGAAATCCACACCTCGCAGGAAATGAGGATTCCATAGGTATGAGGGTTTTGCAGAATGGCAACTTGTTTGTTTTGTGGATTTGTGAAATTTTATAGCTGGTGGGAGTGGCTCTTTCCTAGAAAAAGATCACACACTCATCAGTCCTTGGGTGAAAAACTGATTAACTGGAGATCAGAATAAATTCTGTACTCCTCCATGCACTGTTTGTGCTGACCAGTTCTGGATTGGGTGATGGTGTACACACAGGAATATTTGACAATACAGGTATTAGGCTCTCATATCATAGATCTTTTTTCCTGTTCTATTCACATGCATTTTCATGGCAGCTGGACATGCATTATACAGCTATGGGCTAAAGCTCTCTGTTACAATTCTAGTGAAGCCAAAGACAAATGTGACACTGTGATTTATGCTGTGAGCAAAACAGACCAGGGAGTGTTCTCTCCCCCATCATCAAGTGGCACAGCAGAGCTTTTATACATGGCAAGCTCCTCTCCCACAGCCACCTCCAAACAAAATAGGGTGGCCAGCCTAAGGAAAAACACCTCAGAGAGGGCTCACAGGCAACAGGCAAAGCTGTGCCAAGGGGTGCTGGAACCTGGGCCCTCTCCTGGGGCAGATACAACCAAGACAAAGCCATTTTTTAAATCTCCAGCCCTTGATGATCTCAGAAGACTCTGTGTAAAATTCAGCATCTTCTGTCACTTGAAGCTGAAGTGCACAGCCTGAGTTTTACACCTAGGCTATGGGAAGTTGGTTGGGGTTTGCTCTGTTGCTGACAGCTTGAAATTTCCACTTGCAGCTCCTTCCTGTTTCCTTTTCAGACATGCATCATACAAACCCAGAGAGGCTGCACAAATGTACCAAAACGGTGAGAAGAGAGGACATTCCTTACCACAATGAAGTTTTTAGTATGCCTAGTCAACACTGAAGCAGCAGAAGCAGACCTGAGCAGGCACTTCCATACCCACATCCTGCAGATACATACCTTGGTGCTGATGGCTACTTGAAGTATATGTCCACAGCCCCCATCCCACCTGGGATGCCACATGGCATACTCAGACATCAGAACTTAAGGACTGGGAAGTGTGCTGGGACTTTTTTTTTTTTTTTTTAATAATTTAAAACTTGCATCACTGCTGCTGCCTCATAGAGAGTTGGGTCATTCACTGCCAGTTGTGAAAGGGACAGTGTGCATGCTGGGGAGCGTACATCCCATGTGTCCCCAGCATGGGATGGGACCTCTAGGGAGGGATCACTTGGATATATACATATATATATACCAGACACATCCCCGACTTCATATGTGGGCCACATGGGAAGGCAGGACTTGCTGCCTGGAGCCCATACTTGCCCACAAGCCCTCCAGTCCTGAGATCCCGTGGCCACATGGCACTTCACTATGTCTGGGGATCTCCTAGCTATACAGCACCTCACCATCCCTGGCAGGGGGAGCTGATGGAGTCCATGACACTGCCCCACCTTGCTGCAGCTATGCACAGGAGCTCTGGCTGGCTCCAGGGTCACTTTGCCCCACCCATCAGCACAGAGAGTGAGAGGTGCCAGCCACATTGTGAGGAGCAGATGACATATCTAAAACAAGGGAGGAATTTTAGCCCCCTTTGCTTTCCCTTTGCCCCACCCATATTGCACTGCCATTAGAATGACCAAAATTATCCAGTGACATCATTCATCACCCATAGAAAAGCACAAACCATGCAAATTCCTCCTGGAAATTTCCTGAGAAAACAGGCTTTCTAGGCTCTCAATGTCTAGAAAAACTCCTTGACCAGTTACTTCTCTCCCAGACGTTTTATCAGGAACTGAAGCTCATTGAATCAGTGATTCACTCCCCACTCAGCACTGGCTGACTGCATTTGCATGCCTTGGGATAAGAATCATGTTATTCTTTGCTCGGGTCCAGGACACCTCTGATATGTGCTAGAATATCTCTGGCATGTTACAATTAAGATTATTTCAAATTTCATGGGGGAGGCATTTTCATGCACTGCCTTTTTTTATAGGGGACTTCAGCAGGGCCCACCCAAACTACCATATCAACAACACAAAGAAATCAAAAAACACCTTAGCATGGTGCTTTCCTTGCCTATGTTTGTATAAAGCTTGTTTACAGCCAGCAGGCCAGGATAAAAAGGTCATTTATAGTATGTGCTGTGGCACTGCTTGCCTGAATTTTAGGAGTCAGCAACTTGGATAAACTCTTGACGCAGCTTGCAGACACAATTAAGAATGTCTTTTCCACCTACTGCAGGAAGCTGGTCAGTGTATCAAAGATCAAAGTTGCTCGCACCAAAGCAAGAAGGTTACATACAAGCAAAAAAGTAACTACAAATACTCAAGTTTGGATGCAGGATTTGCATGTATTGGTCTCTAAATTTGACCATAAACCACTTGAAGCAATTAAAAAAACCCCAAACGCTGCAGCACCACCCAGATTACTCACAGGCTAATCCTCCTGTTGCAGAGATAACAAGATGTTATCAAGATGTTTGATATGACTTTGAGGAGATAAGTTTATTGAAAACCATATTAGAGACTTATTTAGAGAATGTAATGACCTTAAGTGGCTGTTCTTTAAAAGGGCTAACAAAAGAGTATGTGACCTGAAATGGGCATATATTGCAGGGAAGTCACTTCCCTCTGCTACACATACAGCATCTGCAGAACAGGCAAATATTTATCAGGAACTGAAGCTCATTGAATCAGTTAATTGTTTCAAAAAAAAAAAAAAAAAAAAAAAACAAAACAACCAAAACCAAGCCCTAAGAGATGGTTTTTTTTAATATATCTCAAAAAATCAGAAAGGTAGTCAGGACCTTTTCAGAAGCTGTTCCTGAAATAAGTGTCCCTGGGATAAAACACAGCTAGGAATGACTTTTGAGAAACTTCTGGTGAGCTCTAGCAGTTTTAAAGCAAACCTGAGTGCTGCTGCAGTCACTGCTGCAGGACTGCACTGGGAAGAAAGACTGGCAGGGGAATTCAAGCTAGCATGTCTGCCCTCTCTTCTTCTCTCTTCTCCGCTCCACTGCAGAATAAGAAATCAGAGAAAAGACAAGCCTGATTTTTAAATTTTATTGGTGGCTCTAGTGGGCTCTTGTACACAAACAGGATTCAGGATCATCTTGGGTCGATTTCCTTTCAATTCTGCATCCCTGCTCTGTTCTGCTTTACTATTCTGCAGCTCCCTGTAGAAACAGGATCTTTCCTCAACAATGTTCTGCCACATCATCTTCCTTCCTTTGTATACAGGCTGCTCCTGCCTGTTACATACCATGAGGCTTCCTAAGGCACCTCATTTCTCAATGCTAGCAAAAACAGGAACCAAAAGCAAAGCAGCAATAAACGCTAAATTCTCACTGCAGTTAAAAATGAAATCTTGAAAGTTTCCGATTCAAGATGACTTTGCTGTTAACGGATTATTTTCCTAGTTTAGTGCTCTGCAGTCGACGTGCAAATGAGGTGCTTGCAGTATTTATCAGATTTAAATGCCACTCCAGCAAGGTTTGCAACACTGACCCACGCTTTTCCTCCTTTTTTATTGGTGTTGAAAAGTGAACCCAGCTGAGCAGAGTACGCATTGCTTCACTGTTCACCTCTTTTCTGCCATCTTGTAAGGCTTTGCTGTCTGATTTTTGCTCCAGGGAGGTTCAATAGCATGTGTACAGGGACAAGAGAAAACCACAGGCCGCAGTACATATTGCACAAATGCTGTTATTATTCTGAGGCCTGAAGAAACAAGGAAGGAAGCTTGAGGCTGGTGGTTTGGCAGGTGTGAGGCCTTTTTCACACAGACATCTGTTTCAAGTGGTAGCTCTGGGCTCGGGGATGAGCAGGGAACGTCTGTCACTCCCAGCCCTTTTCTGTGTCACAGCACAAGGGGCTTTGGGCTCCCAATGTCAGCTCTTTGCTCAATCTGTGCTCCGAGACTCTGCTCTCTTGCATTTGTGGGGCAGGGCTGCAGAGTGAGGTGACTCCTCCCTGCAAACTGCCTGAGACAGAGATGCTGCTGCTGCTGCTGCTGCTGCTGCTGCTGCTGCCATGCCAGCATGCACAAAATGGATGGGGTTAGAGTACAAAATGGGTGAACAGCAACACGTGCACAAGCTCAACATGCCCAACAAGCTCCACGCGAGCACCTGGTGAAAACCGTTTGGATGCTACCACATACCCCTCATCAAAGGGAACTTTTCTAATCCCACTAGATTATTTCTAGAGTTTTGGGCAACTCTACTAGTGATCCCATTACAGTTTTGAATAGACTGCTTCATTTGGCAGCACGTTACAGCACACTCTCTGTGGTGCCTTGCACCATATTTGAAGGAATTCATTAGTGTTTGATGGTTAATTATCTATGCGATAATATCTGGGATTCCACCTTAGAAATAATTTATAAAGAAACTGCAGTTTTTAGGGCTGGATTCTGCTCTAGTAAGCACATGTGTAGGGAGGAAAAAAAGAGTTCGCATAATATCCTCCCCAGCAGGGATTCTTTGGGACAAGTTAGTTTTGAGCCACATTGTTATTTTAAATGACAATAAGTTCTTTCTCCTGTAGTTCATGGCCAGCTTTAATGAACATTTAGCAACTTAATTATCTTTAAGACTGCTACTCCTCTATTACAGATTGCTGACATTGGTCAGAGAATTCAGAAGATGCTGGGGGAAGGGCAGATATGCAGAAAAGCAGAGACTGAGATATATGTATACAGCTGCCCTCATTTCCATAAGAAATCAAGCTGAAGCAATTTCAAGGTGAGGGACTGTGGTTAATCCCTCCCAACACACTCATTAATACATCTCATAACAAGTCTCCTTGTCCACTGACAAGGAGAGTCAATCAAGCACCACTTTTGTCTGGGCAGGAGAAAGGCTACAGTTTCATAGGGGCTGCTGGGTTTTATGGCTTCTTCAGAGGTTTTGAGCTGTGCTGTGCTGATGTGCCTTCATTCAGAACTGAGCAAGGGGTAGGTGAAGTGATGGGAGAACTCAGCTGCTGTCTTTGCTTCGTGTTGCAAATGACAGAGTAAAATCTGCTGATGTCAACACCAGAATGGGCAAAATCCTGGCAAAATGAAAGGCTAGGTAGCATT